CTTACGAGTTCACAAAGTTTGGGACACAATTGAACCCGGATCAGAAGTGGCAGAAAAGAATGACATCGCAACAGCTCTGCTATTTCAGTCGATCCCGGAAATCCTCGTACTAATAGTTGGAGACTACAACTCACCAAAGCTTATATGGGAAGCAATTAAATCGCGAAACCTAGGAGTAGACAGGGTGAAAGAAGCACGTCTCCAAATCCTAATGGCCGAATTTGAGAGATTAAAGATGAGTGAATCCGATACAATTGATACCTTCTCAAGCAAGATATCAGAGCTAGCATCGAAGTCATCATCTTTAGGGCAAAAGATCGAAGAAACAAAGATGGTAAAGAAGTTTCTTCAAAGCTTGCCAAGGAACAAGTATATTCAGATCGTAGCATCGTTGGAGCAAGTCCTTGATCTCAACACAACCAGTTTCGAAGAGATTGTTGGACGGCTCAAAGCATACGAAGAGCGTATACAAGAAGAAAAACATGGTGAAACAACCCAAGGAAGCTTGTTTTTAACTAACACATCGACACAAGAAAACCAAACCAATCAAGAAAGATCACAAGGACGTGGAAGAGGCTGAGGTCAAGGAAGAGGCTCGCGCGGAAGAGGCCGTGGCAGAGGCAATAACCAAGACCGAAACAAAGAAAAGAAGGACAGATCAGAGGTAGTGTGTTTTCGCTGTGATAAAAAAGGTCACTTTGTTTCAGTATGCCCAGAAAGAAAGAAAAGGATGCAAGAACTGAACAAGGTCGAAACAGAGGATGCAGACGAAGCACTTTACATGCAAGAGATCATCTTTCTGAACGAAGAAAAGGTACTTCCTAAGAAATACGACTCTAACAAAGAAGAAGAAGGAACCTGGTATTTGGATAACGGCGCAAGCAACCATATGACCGGAGTACGTTCTTTCTTCTCTGAGTTAAACGAGAACGTGAAAGGAAAAGTCAAGTTTGGAGATGGTTCGTGTGTTGACATAGGAGGTAAAGGTTCCATCCTGTTTGAAGGAAAAACAGGAGAACAACAGCTCCTAACTGATATCTACTTCATTCCATCGCTAAAGAGCAATATACTAAGCTTAGGACAGGCTACTGAATTCGGCTGTGATGTGAGAATGAAGCAAGACTATCTAACTTTGCGAGATCCTAGTGGAAGACTCCTAGCTAAAGTAATAAGATCCCCTAACAGACTTTACAAAATCAGCCTCAAGATTGGAAAACCAATATGTCTACACTCTAAGATTGACAGAGATACATGGAAGTGGCATGCTAGACTTGGTCACATTAGTTTCAGAACTATCAAGACCATGTCAGCACAAGAGATGGTTCAAGGACTACCCAAGATCCAAAGTGAAAAAGAGTTATGCGAATCATGCCTAGTAGGAAAGCAAGCTCGCCATTCTTTCCCAAAAGCAACGCAGTACCGAGCTACAAGGGTATTAGAACTCATTCATGCGGATTTATGTGGCCCTATATCACCATCAACGTTTGCCAAGAACAGGTATATCTTTGTAATCATCGATGATTACACAAGATATATGTGGACCATACTGTTAAAAGAAAAAAGTGAGGCATTCGACAAGTTTAAGGAGTTTAAGACACTTGTTGAAAAGGATCTCAACAAATCGATCTTAACACTAAGAACAGACAGAGGTGGGGAGTTTACTTCAAGAGAATTCCAGGATTTCTGCAACAAAACAGCAATTAAAAGGCACCTGACAGCTCCTTACACTCCACAGCAGAATGGAGTAGTAGAAAGGAGAAATAGGACCTTAATGGAGATGGCAAGGAGTATTCTTAAAGCAATGAGGGTTCCAAACATATTTTGGGGAGAAGCAGTACGTCATTCAACCTATCTAATTAACAGAATCCCTACAAGAGCACTAAAGGAACAAACACCCTACGAATGCTTGAGAGGAAAGAAGCCAAGGATCGATCACATAAGAGTTTTTGGTTGTCTCGCTTATGCGAAAGTTGAAAACGTGAATCTAAGAAAGCTAGATGATCGATCACAAGCCCTTGTGCATCTTGGGACTGAACCAGGATCTAAGGCATACAGGCTCTACAATCCAGCAACAAGGAAAATCACTGTAAGCAGAGATGTTGTTTTCAATAAAAAAGAAGGTTGGAACTGGAAGGGAGCTGGTGAAATCGAAGAATCTAGACCAGGGATGTTTCATATGACATGGGGAGAAGCAGTGGACGAAGGAAAAGGTCCATACACCTGCAACGACGAACAGAGTCATGGAACAGAGCCTGGAAGAGAAGATAACGAAGATGAACGCTTTGTCCAAGAGCAAGAAGAACATACAGATGCACCACAGCTAAGAAGATCTACACGTGAAATAAGACAACCTAAGCGGTTCGAAGATTACGTCCTCTTAGCAGATGTTGAGTGCGAGCTACTTCTACTTGCATTAAACGATGAGCCAAGAAATTTTGGTGAAGCAAAGGGCTCACCTCACTGGACAAAAGCGTGTACAGAAGAAATAGACTCCATCAACAAGAACAAAACCTGGAGATTAGTCGATAAACCTGCAGGAGTAAAGGTTATCGGACTAAAATGGGTATTCAAAGTCAAGAGGAATGCTGATGGATCTATTAATAAATACAAAGCTAGACTAGTTGCAAAAGGGTATGTGCAACAAGAGGGAATCGATTTTGAAGAAGTTTTTGCACCTGTTGCAAGACTTGAGACGATCCGATTACTCGTAGGTCTGGCCGCTTCCCATGGTTGGGAAATTCATCATCTCGACGTCAAGACGGCTTTCTTACACGGTGAACTAAATGAAGAAGTGTTTGTCTCACAACCAGAAGGATTTGAAAAGAAGGGAGAAGAGCACAAAGGTTTCAAACTCGCTAAAGCTTTATATGGTTTGAGACAAGCACCAAGAGCATGGAACACTAAACTTGATCAGATCTTAAAAGGCATGAAGTTCAAGAAGTGTTCAAGGGAAAGCTCTGTGTATCGAAAGGAGGAAGATGGGAATCTCCTCATTGTGGCTGTTTATGTTGATGATCTTTTTGTAACAGGAAATACAATGGATCTCATCAAGGCTTTTAAGGTGGGAATGTCATCGAAATTCGAGATGTCTGATTTAGGAAGACTTACATATTACCTTGGAATAGAAGTTAAGCAAAGCAAAGATGGGATCGAGATAAAGCAGGAGGCTTATTCACGCCGTATACTCAAAGAAGCTGGCCTAGACGCATGTAACCCGACTCACATTCCAATGGAGTTTGGCTTAAACATGTCAAAAGGGCAAGAAGATGAACCTGAGATAGATGCAACTATGTATCGAAGAAGAATTGGCTGCCTAAGATACCTCCTGCACACGCGACCCGATCTCTCCTTTGTTGTTGGAGTACTTAGTAGGTATATGCAAACTCCTAAGGAATCACATGGACAAGTGATGAAACAAGTACTGAGATACTTACAAGGGACATTGGCGTATGGTCTGAAGTACAAGAAAGGTGGTTCTAAGAAACTTATTGGCTACAGCGACAGCAGCCATAATGTAGACCCCGACGATGGAAGAAGCACAACAGGACATGTCTTCTACTTTGGTGAAACACCAATCAGCTGGTGTTCCCAAAAACAAGACCGAGTTGCCCTGTCCTCATGCGAAGCCGAGTTTATGGCTGCCACAGAAGCTGCCAAACAAGCGATCTGGTTACAAGACTTGCTGAGTGAGATTACCGGTTTGAAGGTCCAGAAACTACTTATACGAATAGACAACAAATCGGCCATCTCACTCACAAAGAATCCTGTGTTCCATGGCAGAAGTAAACATATCCACAAGCGTTACCATTTCATCCGGGAATGTGTCGAAGAAGATCAAATAGAAGTCGAACATGTACCAGGTGAAGAGCAATGCGCAGATATTCTAACTAAAGCCCTAGCAAGACTGAAGTTCAAGAAGATGAGAGATTTGATAAGAGTTCAAGATCTCTCTGAAAATGATCTGAAGCTTAAGGGGGTGAATGTTGGATAAGCTTCAATAGCTTAAGGCCCAAGACATCCTAATCTAAATAGGATTAGGATAAGATAGGCCAACTAGAATTAGGAGTTATCTAGTTCTAGGAAAATAGGATTAGAAAAAGGAAATTCTAAAACCTATATATATATGTTTATCGAGTTTGTGATAAACATATAAGAGAACATTGATGTTTAGTTTTGAGCTAAGTTTCTAAACATAATAAAGAGAGCATATTCTTTATACAAGTGTTTCTTTCTTAAGCAACTTTATTTTAAAACGGAGTCGAGTGCTTTAGGATTTATCCCCGAACTGAATTTGCAATGATTTGTGTAATGGAACTACCTCTTTCTTTCTGTATTTATAGACATCAAAATTTCGCATATACCTATTTTTTTAACGGTGTCAAACACAATTCCAAATAACATTTTCGTACTCTTAGTTTTGTAAAGTATAGAAATTTAGGTGTAATCTCCATGTATTGATTCGTTGCTGGCAAGTTTGAACCAATCCGCCCTAAGTGAAGACACCATTCTGGCAATCTCTATATTCTCTCATCGGATATATGAAAGTTTAACTCCAAATCATTATAACAAAATTACTTTAGAATGAGAGCATGAAGAAACATGATACATTAACCAAAACTTATGGTTTGGTTTTAATCTTTAGGAAAGGGGTTAACATTCGTATACTACTCACATTTGTACGATCGGAAACTAATCCCACACAAATTTCAAATTAACACAAATCAATTTTCATACCACACAACACAAATTTCAAAACTCATCAGTGATGATGATTTCGTTTAAAATCGTTTAACTACACCTAAACCGCAAATTTCAAACCTATAATAGCTAAACCGAGTAAACCGAATTAAGAATAGAACCAAGATTTGGGGCAAATCGATTCAGGGTTCGTTCTTTCTTTCAGAGACGAGCTTCACGCTTGACGGGACAATCAAAGCGAAAATCAGAACTATCGAGAGAGAGAAAGCAATCCCAAATTTGATATGGAAAGATCATAAAGAAATTATTTGAAACACCAATTTTATTTAGACATTTTGGTTCTTATTAGTGTCGAATCGTCATCAAAACGAGCAGATCAAACGATTGGTAAATTTCCAGAAATCGTAAACACGAAACACACAGATCTCTCACACCATAGTTACTTACAAACTCAGAAATCACAAAAGGGATTTTGACCCTAGGAGACAACGCGACCAACGACTGGATACTTAGCTTCGAATTTCTTCTCCCAGTCATTAAGAGTGTTGATCTCTTTCTCAGAGAGGCCTTCGAGAGAAGGAGAGACATCTTCTTCGTTCTTGCTCATCTTACCCAGGGCTCTGCTCGCGTCTTTCCCGGCGAACATCGCGTAATCGCCTCCGGCTCCGTAGAAGGATTTTCCGGTGGTGACGTCGAATACTCGGCCCTTGATTGCGACGTAGATCGGTTTCGATTCGTCGGTGCCGTTGTAGTGGCTAAGCTGCTCTGCGGTGAACTCCATTTTCTTTCTTACGCTTCTGAATCGAATGTTTCTGGAAAGAACCAAAGGATGAGAGAGAGAATAATGGAGGAGAATTTATTTATAGTGGAATTATTTATTTTTATTTTTTAACATCTATTTTTATTAATATGAAAATCAAATTACATAACAATTTATTATTTTTTTTGGTGGACAACAGGGGATTAGTCTCCATATTATTAATAAAAGAAAAAATTACATCCGAACACGTCTAGGCGTGCAGACCCTATCGCATCCTCTAACAAAATCAAACGGACTTCGTCCGGGCACAAATTAAACAAATGAAATCCTAACGGCAAAGAGAAAGCATAGTTTGCTAATCCATCTGCAAGACGATTAGCCTTCCTATACACATGAGAAATTCGGACTATCCAGTCCTTCGATAAAAAGCCATAGCACAAACGTACTAGGAATGACAGAGGATGAGAGTCATCAATCCCTGTCTTAAGAAACCCCACCACGATCTCGGAATCCACCTCCAGCTCCAATCTCGTGATCCCTCTATCCCACGCAATGTAGAGCCCATAATATACTCCCCATAACTCAGCTAAGGGTGCCGTACAAATACCGATATTAAGTGCAAATCCACTGCACCAATTACATAACAATCTATTATATAAAGAGTGGGTTGTGTCTCACAAACTTGACACATCAGCTCTTCTCCTTATGACACATCAGCTCTTCTCCTTATGACACATCAGCTTTGAATTTATTATAAAAAAAGTATTTACACCAATATTTTTTTTTAATAATCCCAGAAATCAAAAAAGAAAGAAATGTCCATTTTTGGTCAATACATCTCATTAATCTTATTTTTAGATGTTGGAAAGATGGAATAAAATGGTTATTATGGTGATAGTTTTTAAATTTCATTATTACGGTGATAGTTTTTACAAAGATAGTAAACTTCATCTAATGAAATAACTTGATAAAACTGAGATGATTAATTTGCTGTTAATTATTTACTATCTTTATAATTGTAATCTCTTAACAAAATACAGATGTGAGTTATTTACTAACTAAAAATTTATTTACGAACTAAAATAGAGAATCAGAAATAAACTATTTAAAGCTTTATTAAAATTCTTTTTGGCTAATTATATGATTATTTTTAAACATAACCAGTTGGTATGATTGATAAACCTTTTATATATTTTAAAGTTGAAAATGTTACAACTACAATCACAGATGTAACTATGTAAGTAACCATTTTGGGAACAAATTTTAATACAATTAAAATTTACAGTTCTCTTACTATATTTTTATGTATTGTATAGTCTTTCCAGAGGAATTTTATAATTGTAGGGTTTGGAATTTTAATATGTTCTTTTAATTCAAATGTTTCTTCGTCTAAAGTCATTGGTTTGAGTTTGTTATATGCCAATTTTCAGTACCTAAATTTTCTACTTTTACAGAAATCATCCCAACAAATGAAAAGATGTCAAGAAAATGGAAATGTGTGACCAAAGCCTTGAAAATATTTTAAAATCATGCAAGTTTTCTTACCAGATAGCATATGGTAATGGAACTATAGAATCATAAGACGTCATTTTGAGAAAACTTGGGCTAATGATTTTTGAATCTGAACTCAACTGCATCAATAAGACTGATGCTGCGCTTATTAAAAGTGTGAAGATTGTGATTTAAAACCAGGCGGAGATGCTCAAAGTTGACATGTTTCTGATTCCCACAAGAGTATTGGTGGCTCTTTAGGCAAAAAAATCAATGATGGAGAGTTCCATTTGTTGTTTAGAGGAGACAATGCTAATGTTATCTGTTACTTGACACTTAAGTTGGTAAGATTTCACTCTTTTATCGTTTGTAAAGACTGCCCCAAAGTAGACGACAATGCGTATTAAATTGAAGGTTGTTCCATCTTTTTTCCAGGAATAACAGAGTAGAAGGCGGTGATATCACCACACCAACGGTAGTTTCTGTGTAGTTCAATGCATAAAATCAGAAGGATACAAAGAGGTTCTTGGGTTTATACATATATGGTGAAGATTATGTGGTCAATGGAAAAATTGCTTCTAGGAAAATTAAGAGAGAAAAGTACTAGCTATTAATAAGGTACTTCGTTATCTCCATTCTCATTATTATTTTTTTGCTGCATTTTTAAAAATTTGTGTAAAGAGAAAAATATAAGAAGTAAAGGGCAAAGAGAGAGTCAAAATTTACAAATAATATACCAAGGAGATGGCTAACAAAAAGAATGAGAGAGCGAAGGATATTGCTCTCTCCTCTAGGATGTACAAGAAGTTTTCATGTATATGTTTGATTTTTTTAAGAAACAAATAATTAAAGAATTTAGGTTCTTATAATTATAATTAGAGTAAACGAAAAGTGTTTTACATTTAAAAATGTTAAGTAAAAGAGAGTAAAAAAAACTATTATGAGAAGTTTACAAAAAGATTGAATAAACAGAAATACTCAAAAAATAGAAGAAAAAGTTATAACAAATCACATTACTCTAAATAGTAAAAACATTTTGTCACTCATCGAATAACCAATCCTCTGTCTTGAATTAGGTTTTATTTGTTAAAGTATATTTCTTACCAATCAAAACTTAACTCCTAGACACTAAATCTATACGAAATTTATCTTATTATATTAAACACAACTTAAAAAATCTAAATAGTATATAAACCCGCGTGTACACGCAGGTCTTCACCTAGTCTATTATATAAAGAGTGAGTTGTATCTCACAAGTTTGACACATCAGCTCTTCTCCTTATGACACATCAACTCTTCTCCTTATGACACATCAACTCTTCTCCTTATGACACATCAGCTTTCAATTTATTATGAAAAAAATTTTAACACCAATATTAATTTTGTTTTTAATCTCAAAAATCAAAAAAGAAAGAAATATCCATTTTTTGTCATTAACACTCATTATTATCTCATTAATCTCATTCCTAGAAGTTAGAAAGATGAAATAAGATGGTTATCACGGTGATAGTTTTTAAATTTAGTTATCACGGTGATAGTTTTTATAAAGATAGTAAACTTCATCTAATGAAATAACTTGGTAAAACTGAGATGATTAATTTGCTGTGAATTATTTACTATCTTTATAATTGTAATCTCTTAACAAAATAGAGATATGAGTTATTTACTAACTAAAAAATTATTTACGAACTAAAATAGAGAATCAAAAATAAATTATTTAAAGCTTTATTAAAATTATTTTCGGCTAATTAACTGATTATGTTTAAACATAATCAGTTGAAATGATTGATAAACCTTTTGTATTTTTAAAGTTGAAAATGTTACAACTACAATCACGGATGTAACTATGTAAGTAACCATTTTGGGAACCAATTTTAATACAATTAAAATTTACAGTTATCTTACTATATTTTCATGTATTGTATAGTCTTTCCAGAAGAATTTTATAATTGTAGGATTTAAAATTTTAATATTTTTTTAATTCAAATGTTTCTTCGTCTAAAGTCATTGATTTGAGCTTATTATATGCTAATTTTCAGTACCTAAATTTTCTACTTTTACAGAAATCATCCCAACAAGTGAAAAAATGTCAAGAAAATAGAAATGTGCGACCAAAGCCTAGAAAATATTTTAAAATCATGCAAGTCTTCTTACCAGATAGCATATTGTAATGGAACTATAGAATCATAAGACGTCATTTTGAGAAAACTTGGGCTGATGGTTTTTGAATCTGAACTCAACTGCATCAATAAGACTGATGCTGCGCTTATTGAAAGTGTGAAGATTGTGATTCAAAACCAGGCGGAGATGCTTAAAGTTAACATGTTTCTGATTCCCACAAGAGTATTGGTGGCTCTTTAGACAAAAAAATCAAGGATGGAGAGTTTCATTTGTTGTTTAGAGGAGACAATGATAATGTTATCTGTTACTTGACACTTAAGTTGGTAAGGTTTCACTCTTTTATCGTTTGTAAAGACTGCCCCAAAGTAGACGGCAATGCGTACTAAATTGAAGGTTGTTCCATCTTTTTTTCCAGGAATAACAGAGTAGAATTTGCGATGATATCACCACACCAACGGTAGTTTCTGTGTAGTTCAATGCACAGAATCAGAAGGATACAAAGAGTTGCTTGTGTTTATACATATGTGGTGAAGATTGTGTGGTCTACGGAAAATTTGCTTCTAGAAAAATTAAAAGAGAAAACTGCAGCATATACTAGCTATTAATAAGGTACTTCGTTATCTCCATTCTCATAAATTTTTTTTGCTGCATTTTTAAAAATTTGTGTAAAGAGAAAAAATAGAAGAAGTAAAGGGCAAAGAGAGAGTCAAAACTTACAGATAATACACCAAGGAGATGGCTAACAAAAAGAATGAGAGAGCGAAGGATATTGCTCTCTCTTCTAGGATGTACAAGAAGTTTTTTTGTATAGGTTTTGATTTTTTAAAGAAACAAATAATTAAAGAATTTAAGTTCTTATAATTATAATTAGAGTAAACGAAAAAATATTTTACATTAAAACAAAATCAAGTAAAAGAAAGTAAAAAAACTATTATGGGAAGTTTACAAAAAGATTGAATAAACAGAAACACTCAGAAAAGAGAAGAAAAAGTTATAACAAATCACATTACTCTAAATAGTAAAAACATTTTGTCACTTATCGAATAACTAATCCTCTGTCTCGAATTAGGTTGTATTTGTTAAAATATATTTCCTACTAATCAAAAATTAACTCCTAAACACTAAATATATATGAAATTTATCTTATTATATTAAACACAACTTAAAAAATCTAAATAATATACAAACCCGCGTGTATACGCGGGTCTTCACCTAGTAACAATACATGAAAATAAACATACAAAACAATAAGACAACAAAGATGAGTTTAGACAATTTTTCCTTCTGAATTTTTGAAAGAGTGTTTACACTATCTTTCCTCGTAATTGCATTTGATCTGATACAGTTTTTTTGGCTATGATCCATCCTTTCTCCTGTTGTATGTCATTGACACATTCCAAAATAAAAACTAAAAATATTCTTCGAATAAGAATCCAATTTATTGATTCATTCGATAGAAATTTTTTTT